GCCGCGGCCCTCGAGGAGCGGCCCGTTAAGTCGCAGCTTCTAAGGAAGCCCGCGCGACTCCCTCCGTACCAGTTCTCAATCATCTCCTTGATGGCGTTAGCCGGCCGCTGGATTACTTCCCCCGCCGCGATGCGGTTCACCACCGTCTCGTCCAGCCGCCGAATAACGCCCGCTGCAAGCGACATTTTGGCGCCAGAGGCGGCCAGGTCACGTCGAGATGCTCAGTGGCAGCGCAGTCAGCCAATCACTTCAGAGCTCCGTGCTTACGTCATCCCCTACCCTTTCCGAATCAGGGAGCTATTGATTGGGCAGCTTGGGTGCCAGTCAAATTTCTGAGGTCCGTGGCTTCCTGGGTCTCTTCGTCCCTCCCGAAAGCAGCTAATGTCCAGCAGCTGGGAGGATTTGCGCGTGCGCGGCAGGAATCACTGTCCGCTCTCCGGCCAATAGGAACGGAGATCCCCTAGCGGGAGGCTGGTGTCGCGCGGCTCGGGTGATCTGGCGCAGAGCGTCGGTGGCCTTTGGCGCTTGCTCCTGCTCCGCCCCTCTCTTTGCAGCCGCTGGGACATCTGCCCCGCGCTTGTGGCCTCCAGAATAATGTGGATGACACCTAAGAGAAGCAAGATGGAAGTGGAGGAGTCTCGGGGCTTCCGGCCCGAGTGGACCCAGCGTTATTTGGTGGTGGAGCCTCCGGAGGGCGAAGGGGCCCTGTGCCTGGTGTGTTCCCACCTCGTCGTACCCACCTGCGAACGCGACGTCAGGCGCCACTACGAGGCCGAGCACCGGTACTACCAGAGGTATGTGGAGGAGGGCGAGCGCGCGGCCCTGGTGGAGCGCCTGCGGCAGGGCGACCTGCCCGAGGTGGTCCCCCCCACGCCCGAGGAGAGGGCTGCCCGCGCCGGCCTCGGCATCGCCCGCCTCCTGGCGCTGAAGGGCCGCGGCTGGGGCGAGGGCGACTTTGTACACCAGTGCCTGGAGGTGATGCTGAGTGATGTGCTGCCGGAGCAGGTAGGCGTTTTGGGTGGCATCGATTTGTCGCCAGAGGTCACCCGGCAGAGGGTCTTGAACATGAACGAGAATCTTCGCAGTCAGCTTTTTAACCGAGTCAAGGACTTCAAAGCCTATTCCCTCGCCTTGGACGACCAGGCGTTTGTGGCCTATGAGAACTACCTCCTGGTCTTTGTCCGCGGCGTGGACCTGGACTTGGAGGTGCAAGAAGAGCTTCTGACCATCGTCAACCTGACCAATCACTTCAGTATTGGCGCCCTCATGGCGGCCATCCTCGAGGCCCTGCAGACGGCCGGGCTGAGCTTGCAGCGAATGGTGGGACTGACCACGACCCACACCCTGAGGATGATCGGCGAGAACTCGGGACTGGTGTCCTACATGAGAGAAAAGGCTGTGAGCCCCAACTGTTGGAACGTCATCCATTATTCGGGATTCCTTCACTTGGAACTGTTGAGCTCCTACGAGGTAGATGTTAATCAGGTCATAAGCACCGTATCTGATTGGATACTTCTGATTAAGACAAGAGGCATCCGGCGACCCGAATTTCAGGCTCTGCTAACTTCATCGGAATCAGAGCATGGCGAGAGGGTTAATGGACGATGTCTGAACAACTGGCTTAGAAGAGGGAAAACTTTAAAACTGATATTTTCCTTAAGGAGAGAGATAGAAGCATTCCTGGCTTCCGTAGGGGCATCAACCATCCATTTCTCAGACCAGCAGTGGCTTTGTGACTTCGGCTTCTTAGTGGATATCATGAACCACCTTCGAGAACTCAGTGAACTGTTGCGGTTCAATAGAGTCTTTGCTGCTACTGCCTTTGACCATATTTGCTCCTTTGAAGCTAAGCTGAATTTGCTGCAGAGACACATTGAGGAAAAAAATCTAACACACTTTGCTGCCTTGCGAGAAGTCGTCGATGAACTTAAACAGCATATTAAAGAAGAAGAAAAAATACTTGATCCTGGTCGGTATAAAGTGGTGATCTGTCGCCTGCAAAAGGAATTTGAGAGACATTTCAAGGACCTCAAGTTCATTAAGAAGGACTTAGAACTGTTTGCAAATCCTTTTAACTTTAAAGCCGAACATGCACCTATTTCAGTAAGGGTGGAGCTAACAAAACTTCAGGCAAATTCTGACCTTTGGGAGGAGTACAGAAACAAAGACCTGGGGCAGTTCTATGCTGGCTTGTCTGCTGAATCCTACCCAATTATCAAAGGGGTTGCCTATAAGGTGGCATCCTTGTTTGATAGTAGTGAAATCTGTGATAAGGCTTTTTCATATTTGGTTAGAAACCAACACACTTTGAGCCAGCCGCTGACAGATGAGCATCTCCACGCCCTGTTTAGGATTGCCACAACTGAAATGGAGCCACATTGGGATGCTCTTGTGAGAGCAAGAAATGCGCCTGATCCATAAGCTTTTGTAGTACATCATTGAAACACTCCACGAGAATCCAGTTCTAAAAGCAAAAATTTGACCTTCAAGTTGACTAATCTGGATCGTGAGGAAGCACCATTTAGTTACTCAAATTGATCACAATTCAGATTCTTCTGACTTTTTTTTTTCTCCCTCGTCTCAAGAGGCAGCATGGGACTGGAACATGGGAACACCTCTTTTCAAACTTAATGACAAGGTCTTCTTTTGCTTTTATGATATAATTGTTTTTAAAGAAGTTTAGTACTGATGATGTGAGTTGAATTAGAAGTCTGTTTTTAAGGTGTTTCAAAGAAATTTTAAGTCTTTAATGAAATGTTAAAATTCTGATGCATGTAGTCTGAAATTGTCAACTCTTTAAATGTATGTTTGATCCAATTTGCAGAAACTCCCATAGCAAGTTCAGAAGTTTCTGAAAAGGAAGAACATACATTCAGTAGAGGTACTGTCAAAATATTTGAAACTTTTAAAAAACATATTTGTGAGCCTGAGGTAATATTGACAGATTACCTCCCTCTCACCTCCTCCCTATCCACCCCAGTGATGGTGATATTACTAATAGGAGAAATAATCAAATACAATTTTAGGAACAAGAGTTATTTTTAAATTGCTGGTTAGAAGGCTTCCTGCAGTTTGGAGATCAGGCTAACCAGCGTTTGGAGGTTCCCCTGAATTTTTCACATTTGGGTACTGTTTTACCAGCTCACCTATTAAAGGACTATGGTAAGTATAGAACCTTAATGATTGCCCATTAGTAATTTTTTCTGTTGTAGACACATGTTTGGCCCTGTCAGGAAGGATAAAGCAGAAAGATTTTTGCACTCCAGGATGAGGAGGTGTGAGAGACTTCAGCTTCTTTGTCCTGTCTGCATGGGTGTTACTGCTTTATAAAGAGATCCTGCTTAAAGGAAACTATTTTATAGTGATATAATAGCAGATTTTGTTAGCTGCTGGAAGTGGATTTATTAGAGAATTTGAAACTGCCCCCCACATTCTATGTTTAAGATAGTGCACAAGTAGAAGTATTTAGCTCACCAGGTAGCTTTATTCAGATTGTAGCAATTTCATATTTCTAGTGAGCCATCTGCTTTGTGCTAAAACAGTAATTTTCAAGCTTACGTTAACCATGAAAAGGAAATTGTACAGCAAAGTCAAGTACGTAAAATGACTTAAAAACAGGACCCAGTTTATAGGTCCTCTCAAGTACAATTTGAAAACGTGTGCTAAAGTCCTGTCTTAACTATTGTTACACGTTATTTTATGGTCATTGGTCCAGCAAATTCAAGGAACCAGGATACAACCAGGAATTGAGAAGGAACTGATGCCTCAGCAATCAAAATAGTGCCATAAGAACCAATGCATGTCAGTGGTTCTCAACCAGAGGCAGTAAGCCCTCTTTCCAGAGGATGTTGGGACATACAGGGGACTTTTTTGGTGGTTGCATTTAGTGGAGGGGTTCTGCTGGCATTTAAGTGCATAGGACAACCTGGCACACTGAAGAAGCATCCGTCTCTGAAGTACCAGTGGACCCCCTCCAGTGTAGATTATTTTATTTTGAGGGACAGGGAAAATTACCGGTAGAAACAAAATTAGAAGGACAAGTTGGGCAAACTTGATACGGGAGATTAATTCCAACGTTCTGAGTTTGGCTGGTAAGGTAAAAGCTTTGACATGTTTTGGTAGCTCACAGTGGCATTTATAAATCAGTAATTGATATTGAACCAAATTAAAGGACTCCATTGTGTTATATATAATTCATTGAGGGCAGAAAAGCAAGTGTTATAACACGATACTTACCAAGAATGGTCAAGCTGAGATTTTGGTAAACGGGGACTAGGCTTAAATTTTTGTAAAAACACAGTGAAAATCCAACCAAACAAAAATCTGCCGGTAATTTCCCAGTAGTTTGGAGCATTCTCTTACGGCAAGTGCTTTATTGAAAGAATGATTGGAAGACCTAAAGCTGCTTCTGTTTTCTAACCCTGGTTCCTCAAATATTGAAGTCTTGTACATTTTGTGAAGTTCTAGTATATATTTTGCTTACGGTAATAAAATTAGTTGGCATCATATAGTCATTGAGTGGGTGGGAGGGGAGATATAAGCCGAGGATTTTAAATTGACCCTGAGTAATAGGAGAATTTGCTATAAACTAGTCTTGTTTGTAAAAGAAAAATGTGTATTTTACTGTTTTCTGTATTGAGCAATTCTGTAACTGCATGGCAGTCTTGTTTTTTTTAAATATTTTTTATAAAGTAGTTGTTACTGTTCCTGTTGTATCAGTGAATATAGTTTAAATAAGTACTATTTTTAAAAAAAACCTCATATGTCTTTATACTTCCCATTCCTACTAGTTTTCTTAAAAGATTTGTCTGCATTTCCCTTCTCCCATACTGCCACTCAAACTGCTCTACCAAGCTCACAAAGTCTTTGTGAATATTCTCACCCTCTGACACCACGACCACTCTCCTGAAAGATGTTTGCTTTGGCTTCGGGGAGATACCACCTCCAGGTATGCTTCGCAGGTGCCTCTTTCCCTTAAATATCTGTGTTCTTGGAATGGTTTCGTTTTGTTTTAGGCTGTCTTATCCTGCATCATCTCCTTAGCTGCTCCCATCTCCTTTCATGGCTTCGGTTACCACCTGTATGCACATGACTCCCAAGTTTATATCTCCTTTCTAGACCTTTCCTAATTCATAAATCTAATTACTAACTTAAGTCCATTTTGCTGTCTCATAGGCACCACACAGCATGTCATTGATCTGGCCCCTAAACCTTCTCCTGTCACGTTCCCTCTTGGTAAATGGCACTACTACTCCTGACCATTCAGTTGTCCTTGCCTAAGCCAAAACCTGAGTCATCCATGACTTTCCCTCTTCATACATCATACCATTCACAAAAACCGTTCTGTTAAGTCCACTGTTTAATTTTTTCTTAATCCTCCAATGCTACTATTGGCCTGTAATTCAGGCCATCAACTTACCTAAATGATAGCAGCAGCCCCTCATTAATCTCCCTTTCTCTGATCCCTTTCCACACTGCAGCCAGAGTGTTTCAAAAGACTGGTCTGGTCGTACCACTCCCCTGCTCTCACCATTGCTCTCAGGATAAGGTACAATTTCTGTTCATCTTTCAAGTCTCACTTTATATACCACTTCCTCTTGGAAGCCTTCATTGATGCCCACTAGACTAGGTGCCCCTACTACGCACTCCCTAAATACCTTATTTTTTCCTAACCATATACTTAATTAACCCACTTTATTGTTACTTGTTATTAATCACTGCTAGACTGTAGGCTTTATAAGGGCAGGGCGCTTATGCCTTGCCCATTGTTATATCTGTAGTGTTTAGCACAATGCCTGACATTTCAATAAATGTTTGAATGAATAAATGTTCGTGTATTGTTTTACAATCTTTGAAGCCCCTTTGCAGTCTCGTTGGACCTTCACTGTGGTCCTGTCTTAGACTGCTCACTGGGTAATTGCTATCCATATATTACAAATTAAGGAATGAGACTAAGTTCTTTGTAGCTAGGGATCTCATTGTATTCCCAGAATGTAGCTCGGTGCTTGGGACGTGGCTCAAACGTTGTTGGGGAAACAAACTTAGATTGCAATTTGCCCTCGTAAACATATAGTAAAGTCAGGATTCGAACCCAGGGATACATAAGTCCACTCTGTAATATTAAGTCATTACCTCCTTGATACAGAAGCCTCAAATTTTTTTTTAATTTCCAAAGGAACCTGGATGAAAAATACTGGACAGCTGTTTATGGACTAAAACAACTTGTAAGTAATTAGAAAGGTACATTTAATATAGAAGGGTAATGCTGCGTAAGAGTTAATACCCACTTTCCTGCTGTAGGCATCAGTCCTACGAGAAGGTGGCATGCTATTCACTTGCTGTTTTTCTTTACAGACAATTTCTTGTTCTGGATTTAAAAGTAAGTAAATTTAACAATGTTAGAGGAGTGACTCAGCCCTCCGGGTCACTGAATATTTAAGTTCACTTGCTTTGCTACCTGCAGGCTGTCCTTATCACCTCCCCAGGGAAGATGACTCAGAAGTGACATCTAGCCAGCAGTACTTAGAATTGCATATTTGGTTTCCTGTTTGGAAGGTTTCTGAACTTAATTTCTGGCTACCTGGGACTTTCGGAATTCACGAGAGAGCCATACCCTTAGTCTCTTTCCTTGAGTCATGTTGTCCAGTGTAAGGGATTAACTAGTGTTAGGCGTTTTTCAAGCATGGGCATGTCAGCCAAGGGCAAGCCAGTGGCTTGATGGAGAATTCAGTCCTGGCTTTTGTGCTTGGCTAGCGTTCCTCAAGTTTTCTTGTAAGTAGGAAAGCCCACCAGCCCATGAATGCTGTCAGATTAAGTTCTATCGACAGCATCTGGTTTAGTTTCCCTCTGGTGGATCGCATGAGTCACCAGGACAAGTCAGGAAAATATTCGTTAGTTGGAATATGAAGGGTACAGTTGGAAGGATAATGATGGATCTGTGGGTTCCTTCATGGCCCATTGATGGTGGCCTTTCTCTGCTGCTCCGTTATCAAGGATGCTTGACTGTTATCCCATGACTTGAACATAGGCAGGAAGACAGAATACCAGTTACTCACCCGTGGTTGGTAGTTCCAAATAGATCTTTGCCCCTCTCTCATAGCTGTGTAGAAGTATGTCCTCTACCTGCTATCAAATGTCAATAATTTTTAAGGCTTGAGGGTATGTACATGGAGACGTCTCTTGTCTTTTGTATATGTTTAAAAATTGCATAGCAAAAATGAATCAAGTTTACACTCATTAGGATGGCTACTAAAAAAACAACATAAAAAACAGAATAAGTGTCAGCAAGGATGTGGAGATATTGGACCCCTTGTGTATTTTTGGTGGGAATGTAAAATGTTGCAATCACTGTAGAAAATAGTATAGCAGTTCCTCAGACTGATGAATCTCAGTGGGAAGGTGGGGGTGGGTTGGTAGGGTGAGATTAATCAAAGAATTTATATGCATATATGCATAACCCAGGGACACAGAAAATAGTGTGGTGAAGGCCTGGGGGCGTCAGATATGGGGTAGAGAGGATCAGTGGGGGGGAAAAGGGGAGGATATCTAATACTTTCAACAATAAAATAAAAAATATAGCAGTTCCTAAAAAAATAAAAATAGAATTATCATATGATCCACTTCTGGGTATATATCCCCGAAGAAGTAAAAAGGGGGATTTAAAGAGGTATTTTTACACTAAAGTTCATAGCAGCTTTATTCACAATAGCCAAAAGATAGGAGCGATGGATGAACAGATAAAATGTATATACGTATATAGTGGAATATTACTCAGCTTTAAAAAGGAAGAAAAGTCTGACACGCTCCATCATGGATGAACCTTGAGGACCTTATGCCAAGTGAAATAAACCAGTCACAAAAAGACAAATACTGTGATTTCACTGGAGTGTTAAGCATGAGACAGAGATTGTCAAATTCATAGAAAGAAAGAAAGAAAGAAAGGTTGTTGCCAGAGGCTGGGGGTTATGATTTAATGGGTATAGTTTCAGTTCTGAAACAAGAACAGTTCTAAAAATGGATGATGGTGATGATGGCATAGCAGTGTGAAGGTACTTAATACCACCGAACTGTACACTTAAAAATGGTTAAAGTGGAAAATTTTATGTGTATTTTACCACAATTTTTAAAGAGAATTAAGTTTACTCGATAAAGTTAAACATAAGCCCACCCCATGACTCAGCAATTTCACTCCTAGGTATTTACTCAAGATATGAAAACGTGACAAAAAACTTCATTGTTAAAGAATTTTCTTAGCAACTTTATTCATAATGACCAAAAACTGGCAACAAGAAGTCGATAAAACATATTCTATTCATACGAAGGAGTACTAATCCGGAACAAACTTCTGATACACAAAAACAATATGGATGAATTTCAAAAACATCCCAATTAAAAGAAACCAGATACACCCTGGCCAGGGTGGTTCAGTGGTTAGAGGATCTGCCCACGCAAGGAAGGGTCTTGGGTTCAATTCTCGGTCAAGGTTGCAGGTTCACCCACCCCACCGTCAGGATGCGTGTGGGAGGCAGCCGGTTGATGTGGCTCTCACATGAGGTTTCTCTCTCCCCCTTCCCCCTCCCTCCCACTCTCTGAAGGGCAGGGGAAAAAAGATCTTCACGTGAGGATTAACAACAGCAACAACAAGAAACCAGGTACAGGATGGAACATACTGTTGACCTGCAGGTCAAGAACAGAAGAACCCAAGCTGTGGTGATACTGTGGTGGTAGAAATCAAGAGAGGGGTGGTCGGGGGGTAGAGGGCTGGGTAGGATACAGGGAGGGCAGGAAGGCGGGGGCAGGTTGTGTGTGTGTGTGTGTGTGTGTGTGTGTGTGTGTGTGTGTGTGTGCGCACGTCAGCACATCTGACTAAAAAGGTCCGAGAGGGAATTTTCTGGGTTGGTGGGAATATCCTGTATCTTGGCTGGGCTGTTGGTTCTTCAAGTGTGTAGATTTGTCGAAACTCACAAAACTACATGCTTAAGCTCTGTGCCCCAATATACGTTATTTGTATGCAAATATAATCAGTTTTTTTTTTGTAAAGTACACTGTCTTCTCTCCGTCTCCCCCTGGTGCCAATGAAGCAACTGTGGAAACAGTCGTGTAGTTTTATACTAGTCTCTGTGCTTTGATGCATATCATTTTTAAAAACGGCTGCGTCTCATTTCTCATGAGCAGGTTTGCTTGTAACAAAACAAGGGCAGCAGGTCATGCTGACTGGCCAGCGTCACAGGCAACAAAGGAGGAAGTAAGAGACGGCAGGTGGAAGCTTCCTACAGCTGGACAGCGTCACACCAGGACGAGAGGTAGTTCAGGGAGGTGGCAGCATGTCTCAAGAGAAAGGCTGCTTGGTGAGCAGCAGGCCTCAGCATTACCTTTGGTCTCAGTGAAAAGCTGGTTGCCCTGGCAACGGGCCTGCTTAATGAATGGTGCGGGGCTGCGGGCATGCATGTGTCCACAGCAAGCGTGCATAGAGAAAGGATTCCTCCTCCCCAAGTACTCCCTTTCAGCCTGCACATTCAGGCCTATTGATGGTTCACAGAAAAATCAAAACTGCCGAGATAATAAAAAGCTTGGCTGCCCTCACTCCGCTCCTCCCTCACTGCTATGCTCTAGTAATAACTACTTGGAACCTTTTCTTACATTAGGTCTTTTGGTTTCATATATCTCTATATGTCACTAACTCAGTTTATCAGCTCTAAACATTGTCTCTCTATGGCCAACTGCGAGAAATAAGAACTTAGCAAATCCATACCATTTCTTCTACTCTTCTGCTTCACTTTTTCATAGTTGTATTGGGTTTTGTCCCATTGGTTGGTTTTGCAAATTTAGGTTCTATTGTTAAACGATTTGTGTTTCCTCTACCCCTGCCCTTGCCTCTGCCCCTCCTTCCTCTTCTACCTCTTAGTCCCTTCGACCATCCAGCCTGGGGCTAGGGTTATGGGGCTCTGCTTTTATATTTATACATTGTCAAGATTAAAAAAATTTATAACATTCTGTTTGGAAATCATAAGCATCCCCCACACTTGGTCTCTAGGTTTATGCTAGAAGTTTAAAATTAACAAATAATAAATTGTGACATAGTGCTACATTTTCTCCTGTACTTACAATGTCACGGCAAATGTTCCTAGCAAATCATCAAATGCATTCTATTTTCTTAAACTGCCGTAGTTGCTGAAATACATGCCACTTTTTAGTTTGCTTTAAGTTTGGATCCTAACTTTCCTGCCTTCTTGGAATTGTTTATTGTCCCCTGCCCCCTACAGTGGAAAAAGTAATAGCCTTTTTCATCATAGCACTGAGAGTTTCTTTTTTATTCTAAAATAGTTCACGGTCTATTCTAGAATTCTTTCAGACATCTTTTTGGAGTCTGTTGACCTCTTGTTTTAATTTAGGCAGATTTCCTTCAAACCCTGCTGCAAGCCATCATTTTGGGATCTCTTCATTAGATGAATAAGATTAGTTGTCATTTCTTGTTTTCTACACACTCCTCACACTTGATTTCCTGGCCAACATCTTCAGTTATCTCCTTCAGAAAGGGTAAATAAGTAGATAAACTCTCTGAATTTTTATAAGTGTAAAAATGGCTCTACTCTGTCCCCAATCTTGATAGCTAGTTTGGCTAGGTATAGATTTCTAGGTTCAAAATTGTTTTCCCAAGAATTTTGAAGGTGTACTCCACTAATTCATTACAAAAATTTCAAAACTGCAACATAGAATGCATATACAGAAAGGTGCATAAGCACAAATTTGTCTCTTAACCAGTACTTATAAATATCCATAGAGTCACCATCCAGGCCATAAAATAAATTTTGTCAAAACCCTAGAAGT